GGTCACGTCTCCTTATCCAAAGTAAGAAGTGACAGGACAAGAGGTAATGGCCTCAAGCTGCACCAGGGGAAGTTTAGACTGGGTATTAGGAAAAAATTCTTCACCAAAAGGGTGCTCAGGCATTGACACAGGCTGCTCAGGAAAGCGATGGAATCACCATCCCTGGAAGTGTTCAAAACCATGTAGATGAGGTCCTTAGTGACATGGTTTAGTGGCGGACTTTGAAGTCCTGGGGTAAAGGTTGGACTTGATGATATTAAAGGTCTTTTCCAACCTATTTGATTCTACGATTCTATGAAAATACATCCATGCTGATAGAAATAGTACTCCATCCATTCAGTTATGTAAAAAAAAAAAAAAAACCAAGCCACCAAAAACAATACCAAAAAAAACCCCCAACCACACACAAAAAAAATCAAAAACAAACCCCACAGCTTCACAAACACCACCACCAAAAAAATCCAACAAAAAAACCACAACCACCACACCTTCAATGCTTTTCCCAGAAAAAGCCCTACTTGAACACTATGACTTTGAAAACAAAATAACCAAGGAACCTATAAAATAAAGGGAAAAGTGCTGCTGTAGCAGGCATTTAAATAGAATCAAGACCACACACATTTTGCACAAAATGATACAAAATTACGATCAGAATGACCACTAACTGCTTATGGTTATCCCTTCCACATCAGAATTTTATGCATTATAACTATTGACTGCCATTTTCCCTCCTTCAAGGTCTTACACTGTCACAATTTTACAGTCAAAACAAAAGACCTGATGATACCAGCCCTTTAGAAGACAGTCAGACCTGCTGCTAGTTGAGGCTGGAGCTCACTTAAGTGACAGGGGATCATCTCACCTTCCAGCCAGTAATGTTGCTTCCACAGAATTTGTAGTCTCAGTTGGCCCAGTCAAGATTCAAATGGTTGCTGAGTCTGAGGGTCTCACAGCAGCATTCATAGCCTGCTAGGCCTGTCAAGAACCCCTCCAACCTGAACTTCACTTACCATCTTGTCCACCTGGTTTGGTGTTGGCCCATGATTTGGCAACAGGAGCTGCTTCTGGAGGAGCAGGTACAGCAGGTTTTGGCTGTGTCTGCGGCACGTCTGGCTGTCTGGAATTAGAGAAAAAGCACTTGTGAATACAAGAAGGTGAGCACAGACTAAGATCCTCAGGATTACTACTGCAAACAAGTGAATGAAGTGAGGTAGCTATGTAGCTGAAGAACCAATAGCTACTTTTCTGCAGAAAAAGCATGTTCTTCTATAAAATGAGTTGTTATAGTTACAGTTAAAATTGCAGTAAATTACCCAATTCCTTCACGAGTAGATTTCCTAAAGTAGAGAGGAATGAATGAAAACGGCTGGGCAGAAAATGCAGTCAGGCATGAACAGAATTTTACCTTTTTAACTAGTGTATTAATAATTAAAAACCAATCAACCAACAACCATGGAAGGGAATAATTTGGAACAAAGTTCTCTTGCCTCAGGAGTTAGAGGAAAGCACTTAAAAACCACCATGAACTGAGAGAAATAAGGCAAATATATGTAAGAAGTTAGGAAGTAAAAGGAGATGATAAGGAAAGCTAAAGACACCATCGAAAAAAACTGATGGGTGCTATGAATTGGAGTCCAGAAGCTTAAGCCTAGTAAGAACACTGTCTCCATTTCACTATTTTAACAATGAAGAGGCAGACAGAAGCACTCATATTCTCTAAGGTAAAACCCAGTCATATTCTTGAAGACGACTTTGGTAGTCTACAGATTCATCAACATTGTTTAAGTACTTTCAAGTACAGCTATTTCCAAAATCTGCATGTTCAGATAACTTAAGACTCCAAAGCATTAGTATCTACAAGTCAAGACCTCCAGCTCATTGGTATTAATTTTTGATTAAATAGGAATTATAGGACAAATGTAGTAATCCAGAATGACTTTATTATGCAAGTAAAGACATAACTAGTGCAATATCATTATCATGCCAGTTAACTTACAGTAAACAACTGCAAATGGTTTAAATAGATCCTGAAGTAATCCTAAATTCTGAGGACTGACACAGAGAGGTCAGTTCCATCTGGATTCTGCAGTAATCAACCCAAACCACTACACAGTAATCTCAAAATTGACACAGAAGAAACATCACCAAAAAAACCCAAAAACAAACAAACAACAACAACAAAAAAAAAAACCCAAAAAACCCAAAACTCCTAAAAAACCCAAACCCTGAAAAAAAAAAAAAAAAATTCTCATTTGTTTCCACAAATTACCAGAATGAAAATAAACAAACAGAATTCTCATCTTTTCTGTTTCCACTTAGTTGTATCTTCTTACAGCTGCACATTTTCTAAGCAGACATTGGGGAATTTGTAATTTACATGGCTGTACTTCGTCACACACAAAGTGTGTTTCACAAAGTGAAACAAGGAGCAAGACTGTGGAAGAGTTTATTCCTTGCATTTCCACTCTGTTTCAAATTCTAAATGGGCTTGGCTTTGAGTTATCCAAACACTGTCCTATAGATGTGGGTACTAATGTGGGAAAGAACTCAGCTAGCACTATATGAATTCATCAAATCAATACACATCAGGCCACACTATCCAGGAAAAAGGGATACCCATAGAAAGAGTAACAACTTGGAAAAGCAGCAGAAAAAAAATTCTGGAATTATAGGGAACAACTCACTTGTGAACGCCAGCGCACTGACACAAGAGAGAAAAAAAAAAAAGGGAGGAAAATAATTAAAACTGGTATCAAGCAAGCTGATATCAAGACATTACTTTTATCCACAACACTTGTGAGAGCAATACCAGTACACTTTACATGTAAGCAGCAGCATTTATAAGCATGTTGGAGAAATACAGCAATATTTACAATAATGGTCTGAATACTTGAGCAAATGCATTAGATGGTCTGAACTTAGAATTTACTTGTCACCTGTGCATACATACCTGTTCCTGGGAACAAATTCCCCCCCAGCTTTACCTGTATGTGGTCTTTGAAGCCTTTGTCAGAATAATGCATATGAAAATACACAGGTAAACACCTTCCAGTTGTAGGCAAGGGATAGCTATTTATTCAACTTTTAAACATAACATCAGCTACTGGAATATACTTTTAACACAAGCAGCAGGCTATAGAAACGCAGATAAAAGTGTGTTTTAGTCAAACAAGCTAAAGGCTTAACTCAGATTTAACCAAAGGCTAAATGGCCTTGAAGTACAGGAAGATGTTTCTAAAATACCATACAAAACACTGGGCAGAAAATTGTAAATTTGTAATTTCATGAGCGGGGGGGGGCGGGGAGGGAGAACAACCTAAACACAACACTACTCCTAAAGTCTAACAGCTTTTCAGAGACATGTCAAAAATTGACATTCAAATGCAGTAAAGTATAGAAGGAGAAATAAAGGGACAGTAAGAAAGTGGAAAAAAAAACAAACCCCAAACCCCAACTTTAGTCATCTTTTGCTTTCACAAGTGCTAGTGACATAAAATCAGTTCCTCTACCTGCAAGTGTTTTTCAGAACAACTAGTATGCCAAAGAATAAATACTTAAAACCCACTTCTACTTCTATAGTGAGAATCATATCCCATTTTAAGCTTACATGGCAAGAACACTACTTCAAAATACTTTCTGACTAAATATTGAAAAGTTTTAGTCTCTCTCTTCTTTACCTGACCTCCTGTACAAGTGTGAAAAACTCAGCAGATGAAACTGTACTGAGCATAGGAAATCATACTATCCATAGGATAGAGCACTGCATCAACATCACCATTGCTTCTATTTTATTTGTATCACATATTGGGGGAGCCTTGAAATACACTGGCGATCTGCTACAGACCACCTGACCAGGAGGACTCTGTGGATGAAGCACTCTACAGACAGATAGGAGCAGCCTCACGCTCACAGGCCCTTGTTCTCATGGGGGACTTCAACCATCCTGATACCTGTTGGAGGGAAGGGACAGCCCAGCTCAAGCAATCCAGAAGGTTCCTCGATTGTGTGGAAGACAACTTCCTTTTGCAAGTAATAGAGGAGCTGACAAGGAAAGGTGCCATGCTTGACCTCGTGCTCACCAACAGGGAGGGGCTGGTGGGGAATGTGACGCTCCAGGGCAGCCTTGGCTGTAGCGACCATGAGATGGTTGAGTTCGAGATCCTCAGGACAGCGCGAAGAGCATGCAGCAAGCTCACTGCCCTGGACTTCAAGAGAGCAGACTTTGGCCTCTTCAGGAACCTGCTTAGTAAGGTTCCATGGGATATAGCCCTAGAAGGCAGGGGGGCCCAAGACTGCTGGCTCATATTCAAGGATCACCTGCTCCTAGGTCAGGAGTGTTGCATCCTGCCTAGAAGGAAGTGCAGCAGGAGGGC